TGTGTCTGTGCTGATTGTTCTGTAGTTATTACTCAAAACTGCTGCTGATAGAGGATATTTATAACTCCTAGAACTTGTCATATTAGTGTTGATTAGCCCAGTCATAGTTCTCTGCAAAACATAGCTCAAATCATATCATATTATAGCTCTGTGCTTATTTATCATAAATATTTACCATTTTTTAAATACGATTTAATCCTATTGAATACCTCAAGCTGTTTCAGGTTTTGAACTGTTTTCTACATATGATGTACCTGGATCAGCTGTGTGGCTGCTCTCAACACATTTTTAACTTAAAATTCTAGTCATAAATTATAATTTTTATATATATGTTTTTTTGTATTTACTATATATATATATATACATCTAACCTACAAACATAGAATACCGAACCTATAAATACTCATAGCCTTTTTTAACCCAGAACAAATAACATAAAATAATATTTTAACTGCATTAATTGTAAAGCTGATACATTTTGGGCCCCCTGTATGTATATATATCAAAATGTGATTTAAAGCTATGCCAAATATGAGAAACTTTTTGTGTGATTTTTATCTGCTTTAAAAAAAAATCCTAACTTCATCCAAGAAACCCTGCCAACATACATTTTATACTGCTCAAGCTGATGCCCACGCCCCGTGGAAACTTTTCCTTCCTCTCACCCTCCTATTGTTGACCATCACTAAGCGCCAAATAATTGTGTGAAGCTAAAATTGTTTTAAATTAATATACAAAATTATTGTTAAACACATGAAGCGCCAATGTTCACTCTTGTTGTAACAAATATGAATATCATTTAAACTGAGGTGTAATGTATCTCAAGATTTTATGCAGAGTTTGCACACAAAAAAAGTAGCTGTCATCAATACATTGAAAATTATTGTTATGAAATATTCATGTTGCGATGAAATTGGTGCATATTTGAAGGAAGAAATTTTTTTTTTTAGATACTTTGATGTTATTTTGTAAATCATTAGAATCTGTCATTGCTACTTTGTTAAATGTGCTTGGAGAATGATACACTGTAAGGTGTGTTGAATAGTTGTCTTTATAATTATCTGTCATTTATGTGGAGAGTTGT